GGAAATTGTTCAGATTGTATCTCAGAGCATTTAAAACAGACATTTATAGAGGTTTCAGCAGCCCCATATCCTCAACCCCTGGTTTAAAAAGAAATGTGCATAGTGGTTAATTCTCCCATATTACCTTTTTTTTTAAATGGTAGCAGTTTCAAGAGAAGGGATTGGAAGTCAATAAATAGGTATAATAGCCAAGGGGATTGGGAGAGAAAGAGAAGAGATCATGTATTCATCCTTCTATTCACTCATTCCGGAAGTATTTGCTGGTCATATTATGTACCGGGTACCCCAGGGCTAGGACCTGGATACCCAGGAGTGACCAGATAAGGGAGATTCCTGCCTACAGCTTCTGTTTAGTCAGAGGAAACAGAAATGAACAATCAATGAAATAAATAGAAAAGATTATTTTAAATTAGAGTTAACTACTTTAAAGAAAACCAAGAAGGTGATGAGAAAGCAAATTGCCAGAATAGAGGTGAGTCCCACTTTCATAGAGAGTCAGGAAAGGCTTCTCTGGGGACATAAAGCGAATGCTGAAACCTCCAGTCATGTCGCTAGAAACAGGCAGAACGTGCCAGATAAAGTGGAAAGGTGGTGATGTCATCAAGCATTCAGTGTGTTTGAAGAACAGAAAGAAAGGCAGATATAGAAAGTGAGACATCATCTCAGCGTGACCTATGCCCTCTATTTTAACCCTTGGAAAATGTATTTCCTTAAAATGGATGATTAATAATGTTAATAATAATTGCCTTTATTAAAAATCTATGTGTTAGTTGCTGTAAGAATATCTTCTGTATCTTATCTCTCAACGTTCACAATATCCATCAAATCCAAAAGCACGTAAATTATCATTCTAGTTTGACACAGAAGAGAGCCTTAGAGACCTCAAACAAATTGTTCATGATTACACAGCAATGGCAGAACTGGAATTCATACTCAGATTCATCCATCTACAGAACCTACACCTTTTTGTTTCCTTTAACTTGTTTCGTTCAGCAAATCTTTCAACCCTATGCTAGGAACTATGCACACAGAAATGAAGGAAGCAAAATGTTGTGGACTGTTTCTAAAGATGGCCACACAGTATCTTATTCCAACACGCCCTTTTGCAATGTCAACTTTTTGCTCCTGCATCTGGAGGGGAAGTCTATTCCTTCTCTTGCTGGCATTGAGACTTATTTTAACCAAAAGAAGAGCTTTCCATTATGTCTTGCCTGAATTCCCAGCCCCCAGAATTGTGAGCAAATAAAATGGTTGTTTCAAGACACAAAGCCTTGAAAGTGGTTTAGTGACTCAGCATGACCAAAATGCATAAGCAGCTCAGCCCAGAGAGGAAATCAAGCATACAGGTATCTTAAAAATAATGTGACTGTTCCCATGTTTATTGCAGCATTATTCACAATAGCCAAGATACAGAAGCATCCTAAGTGTCCATTGATGAATGAATGCATAAAAAAATGCAGTATACAAACACAACTGAAATACTATTTAGCCTTAAAAGAGAAGAAAGTTCTGTTATTTGTGACAACATAGATGAACATCAAGGGCATTATGTTAAGTGAAATAAACCAGGCACAGAAAGACAAGTATTGCACGATCTCATTTATATGTGAATTCTAAAAAGTTGAGCCTACAGGAGCAGAGATTAGAAGGATGATTACCAGAGGCTGAAGAATGGGGAACTTAGAAAGTTGTTGGTCAAAAGATACAAAATTTCAATTGAACAAGAAGAATAACTACAAGAGTTCTATAGTACGAGATGGTGACTACAATTAATAACAATATATTGTATACTTGAAAATTGCTAAGAGAGTGTTCCCACAAGAAAAACTAATTATGAGACGAAATGCATATGTTAAATACTTTGACATAACCATTAAATGAAGCATACATAATTCAAAATATCATGTTATACACCACATATACTATTTTTACTTGTCAATTAGAAGATAAATGACTTTTAAAATTTAAAAATAACGTGAGTGGTGTCATGAGAGAGCAGTGGAGAAACATCTAAGTCAGTGTTGAGCAGAGGTGGATAAACTTTTCTGGGAAAGACCCAAATAGTAAATACTTTAGGTTTTGTGAGCCGCACTGTCTTTGTCTCAAGGACACAATTTTGCCGTTACAGAGGAAAACAGCCAAAGATAACATGTAACCAGACGGATGTGTCTGAGTTCCAATTAAACTTTATTTAGAAATGCAGAAGGAGACCAGGATTTGGCCCCAGGAGCTGTAATTACCAGCATCTGGCCTTCTTAGAGCATCAGAGGAAGCTAACTGAAGGCGTACTGCCTGAGAGTACATATAAAAGGATCTATCAGGAACTGAAGCTCTGAGATCCAGGGAAACCCTTCAGCCTTTTAACTTAACAAATAAGATAATAATGGCATTGTGACGTTGCATATTCTAGACTCTGAAAGGTCATTCCTGAAGGGCAACAGGGAGCTAAGTCATCAGAGAAGGCCTGGAAAATAGGAAATGAGAGAGCTGGGAGCCTGAGAGCTTAATGAAGCTTTTCGCCTTGGTGAAACCCCATATAAGAATTAAGAACTTAGCATATAACTCAACAGAAGCTCCAGCTCTCTCATTGTATTTGTTCATTCTCACATTGCTGCAAATATACTACTTGAGACTGGGTAATTTATAAAGGAAACAAGTTTAATTGACTCACAGTTCAGCGTGGCTGGGGAGGCCTCAGGAAACTTACAATCATGACAGAAGGGGAAGCAAATATGTCCTTCTTCACAGGGTGGCAAAAAGGAGAACAAACGAATGTTCGGTGAATGGGGAAGTCCCTTATAAAACCACCAGATCTCATGAGAACTAACTCACTTCCATGAGAACAGGAAGGAGGAGGTCCCGTGATTCAATTAACTCCAGCTGGTCCCTCCCACAACACGTGGGGATTATGGAAACTACAATTCAAGATAAGCTTCAGGTGGGGACACAGCCAAACCATATCACTCATCTACATACATCAAAGTAAGCACCTAAAACCTCTGTTCTGGAAGTTATTTTACTGAACTAAATCTAAGAAGTATATATCCCTACTCCCCTTGAGAGTACCACAAATAGAATTTCTGATGAACAGGGACCATGTCTTTTTCTTACTAGCAAGTAGCATCTCTTGTACATGCTTTCTTTCTAGGAGAGCAATGCACATTTCTTGTCTTTGACCTCTTCAGCTTCCCTTCATGCCTGATACTTCTCAGTCACAGACCTGCTTCTCTTAATCTGAAAAACAACTCATTCTTTAGCCTGAATACCACATCTGGCAGCATCAGGAAAGCATTGGTGAAAGCATTTAGAGCTCTAAGTTAAGAGCAATGGGAGTTCTAAAAAATGTGACTGGGCACAGGAAATTTGAGCCGATACTACTTTTTCCAATGATGGTTCCAGGATGGAAGGGTGAGAACAAATTCTGAGAACCAAATCAGATAAATGCCCAATGGAAAAAGAATTTCAGGAATAGATCTTGGGCTGGGCAGGAAGGCCATGGTAGGTATGAACGCCTTTGACTAGGTACCACCATCTCTTCTTCCCAAGGTTACTCCTTGTGTCACATGGCCACTGTCATTCCTCCTCACCACCACTGATGGACACCAACATTACAAAATTCTGTGCTCCTTACCTCAGAAAACACCCACTGCCCATTCTTTTATGCTTTTTTTTATGTTTGTTAAGAAACAGGAAAAGTTCTCTTGTCCCTCTTGCAGGGCATGTGATGGGGGTGTGGCTCACTTCTTCAGTGCCCCACTGCTCAAGCCTCTAGGGGAGCTAGATGGTCAGGCTGTGGGGCTCTGACCCCATGGCAGTGTCTAAGGCTGAATGCTTACAGCAGAAGCCCCAGTGGGCATGTGTTCCAGAATGCTCTTTTAGTTTAACTTCCATAGGTGGCTTGTGTTAACCAGCTCAATTATACCCTCTACTTTGTTGCAAGGACAGAGGGCTTTCTATATCCCAGGTTTCTGTCCTGGTGTACTAGAAGAATGAGATCAAACTGGGGTTTGAGAATAAGTGCAAGGTTTTATTGAGTGGAGGTAGCTCTCAGCAGATGGGGGAAGCCAGAAAGGGATGGAGTGGAAAGGTTTTCCCCTGGAGTAAGGTCACTAGGCAGCCCGCACTCTCTCCCGACTGCTCTAGCCAAACTCTGTGTCATTCTGCCAGTCAGTCGGTGTGTGTTGGTATGTTCCTTCTGATGTCCAGCCACCTGTGTGTTCCTCTGCAGATGTGCTCCTCTCTACGTCCAGTCACCTATGTGTCTGCCTGTGAGGGTCTTGGGGATTTTTATAGGCACAGGATGGCAGTGTGGCAAGCCAGGGTGAAAATGCAACATTTGGGCACGAAAACAAAAATGCCTGTCCTCACCTAGGTCCATGGGCACAGGCCGGGGGTGGAGCCCTAGTCAGGGACCACACCCTTACTCCCTTCTGTATCATTTAAAGGGACCACACCCTTCCCTTCCCAGCACTTCCTTTCCATGTCAGTTTTGTGTGCATTAACAGAAACAGATACACCCATAACACATCACTAAGTAGACAGAACAATAATTATGACCTGCTTAGATCTTAAGTGAACTAAGGGATCCAGCATGTGTCAACCCCAGCTGTCCCCCTAATTCCACCTCTGGACTCTGCCCACATCCATCTGTCACCATTTCTCTATTATAATCTTCTCCCCAAGACTTGGCTCAATCTTTTCTTGAAAACCCCTCTCCATTCTCTAGTAAATTCAGCCACCATCTTCTCCGTGTGCGCATGTGGCATTTTGAGCAATTGTTTAAAATACCATTGTTTAAAATACCGTTATAATTAATTTTAAACATTCATATTCCTCACTGAACTATGAACTTTCTGAAGTCAGAATACACATTCTACAGCCTACAATAGGCATGCAATCAATATTTGTTGAATAAATAAATAATAAAAGAATAAAGTCAATGCTTGCTGGAGTCAATAAATTTAAATTTGAAAATAAAAAGAAAGGATATAGTCCCTCACCAAACAGAAGATCAGTGTTCCTCCAGTTCCTCCAAGTAAGACGTGTCCTGTGAATAATCTTCTGCTTCTCCAGTTCTCCAAATAGTTGATTTTTCTTTCAGAGAATGATCAGTCAGGCTATCTCCCTTGTCAAAGAAATTAATAAAAATTTAAAAATGAAGTATTTTATTAATAGCAGATTGAAAGTTCACCTAGTTTCAGTGACATTTCCCCAGAATGACTTATAGAATCATGGATCATAAAGAAGCATTGTTAGGCATGGGTTTTGCATTGAAATGATTGTTTTATGCTCCAGATACCCTCACTAAAATTTTATCTCCGTAATGGCAGAGACCATGACATGTTCACTTTGTATTATTTCACATGGGGCAGCTTATGTAAATGCTGTCAGAATGCAAAGACAAACAATGGTGGTGGCAGTATTTGTATGGAATCAGGACTTCTGGTGGCAAGTGAAATAAATGCAACTTGAGCTAGCTCTAACAGAGTAATTGGAAGGGAGGTTTGAACAACGAGCATATGGAGAAGGCAGAGAGGCTGCTGAATTTCAAGAACACAAGAATCAAGGACATGAAGGCTACCAGGACTCTCTTTGCCTCTATTCTGTGCTCTGGCAGGTTGCTTCATTCCAGCATTGTTACCAATAGCTCCTGAGTCCCCCAGCCTGGATTCTCAACAGCATCAATTTAAGCACAGGAATTACATAATGTCTACGTAGCTAGTTTATTAGAACTTGATAAAATTATGTAACCTGTGATAATGCAACCAGAAGGTAGACTGAGCCCTGTGGTCCTTGCGCCCTGCTATGGTGAGAAATAGGGAGGGGGAGCAGCTAGGCTAATAGGGCTCTTCCTACCTCTCCCACCATAAAAGCTCCATTTTTACCTGGTTTATTTATTGGGGTCTCCTGTTAAGCTGTTATTACAAATGGTACTGATATGGTTGGGTTGTTTGTCCCCTTCAAGCCTCATACTGAAATGTAATCCTCAGTGGTGAAGGTAGGACACAGTGGGAGGTGCTGGGATCAAGGTGGCGGCTCCCTCATGGCTGGCTTGGTGCTGTCCTCAAGACAGTGAGTTCATGTGAGATTTTGTTGGTCGGAATCTCCCATCTCTCTCATGGCCCTGCTCTTAGCATGTGATGTGCCTGCTCCCGCTTTGCTTTCTGCCATGACTGTAAGGTTCCTGAGGCCCTCACCAGAAGCACATGCTGCAGCTATGCTGGTACAGCCTGCACAAGCATGAGCCAATTAAACCTCTTTCCTTTATAAATATTCCCCAGACTCGGGTATTTCTTAATAGCAATGCAACAACGGCCTAACACAGGTGCGGATAAGGAGTCTGAAAATCTACTCTAGAGAAGCAGAAAATTAGGCATGACTTGTATTTATAAGGTAATTTTGTAAAACTCTTGTTTCGTTTTTTTTAGACCCTTCTCAAATGTTTTAAATGATTATTTGTAAGAGGTCAGTTAGTTGAAATTCCTTGATATTAGTTCATACAGGTTTTAGCACAACTTTGTAGTTGGAACAGCTTGAAATCTCAAAATGTTGTTTTGGGGTTGGCAGGTTGTTGTAGCCAAGAAAACCTAAGTATGAAACTCAGGTAAATTAGATGTGTCATCAAATCCCCAGGGAACTCAACAAGTCTCATTTCTTTTATTACCAAATTGATCAATTTGATTACCTAAGAACAAAATCCAGTTACAGATATCAATTTAAAGTAAGTGCCTAGCCAGGGGTGGTGGCTCACACCTGTAATACCAGCACTTTGGGAGGCCAAGGCAAGTAGATCACAAGGTCAAGAGATCAAGACCACCCTGGCCAACATGGTGAAACCTCGTCTCTACTAAAAATACAAAAATTGGCTGAGTGTGGTGGTATGTTCCTGTAATCCCAGCTACTTGGGAGGCTGAGGCAGGAGAATCACTTGAACCTGGGAGGTGGAGGTTGCAGTGAGCTGAGAAGGTGCCATCACACCTTCTAAGACTCCATCTCAGAAATAAATAAAGAAATAAATAAAGTAACTGCCTTTCATTGTGGTCCTTTTCATCTTTTTTCACTTCTATAGCTCAGAAGTATTTTTGAGTAGACTATACAGTGTTGATATTTTAAATTGCTCCATCCCTAAGTAAATTAAAGAGTACCAAGATCCTTGAAAAAATATGAGATCTTTGAATTGTCCCAACTAAATATATTTAATTGGCACACATTGCCAGGTTGCTGAAAAAAAGCCTTTGTAACTATTTAAAATTTCAATCTGATGGCATTTCCTTATGAGTTGCTTAGACACTTCATTCAATCCCATTCAATAGAAGGTTGAAATGGCTACCAAGAACTATATCATAGATTTGGTTTACCCACCAAAGCTGCTGATTTGATAAAGTATAGGTTTTTCATGATAGAGTGCATTAAATTGCTTTCTATTTGGTTTCTCTATGAATAGCTACACAATTTCTTCAAACTAAATTCATGGCAGAAATGGGATGCAGCATATTTCTTTGTCTTCCACAGCATTTAACATGGCTATAAGCAAATAGTAGATCTCAAGAAATAGTGATTAGAGGCCATTTTATTAAGTACTCACATTATAATAACAACAGTGGACATTGCCTCTAGCTGCCAAGTCATAAAGAAAAACACCTGTTAATACTAAAAATCGCAAACATTTCTTGAACTTTTATATTTCCTTTAAGAAATATCTAAATCAATACACTAAAAATTTCTTCAGATGGGTTTTTGAGAAGATATAAAAACATGAAAACCAGTTCATCTCCAAAGAATTGATTCAAAAGGGGAACAAAAACACAAAGAAATAACTTCTGATTCCAAAACAAAAGGTAAATGTGTGTAGAGAAACCCCCAGGCAAGTACCAGGGTGTACAAAACCTGTTCACATGGAAGAACTTTCATAATCTAAACAGTTTGCCAAGCACAAATGTATGTCTTAAATATATGCCTGAAAAACAATGCTTGGACCATAATTGTCATCACTCAGAAGACAGAAAATAGATTTTCTGCCTCATTACAACTATAAATCCTGACTATATTCTGAGACCTAAAAACATCATCATTAAATATTTTTTTCAACAGCAATGCCTTTAAAGAGATTAATATCTATATTTTAAAATAGAAATTGTTGTACAAATTTATTGCAAAACATCACATTGCATATGTTTTGTGTACTGTTATATACTGACTTGTCACAGGAATCAAAAGCAAATCTTTAAATATAAGTTGCTAATTAGAATCCAATTTTCAAGTTTGTAGACTAAAAACCTGGTTTGTGAATATTGGTGTTCAAATACAACACTGATCACCAAACAATGAATGACCACTCTTCCAACACAACACAAATTGAGAGGCAAAAGGCGTTTTAAGGAAATTCAAAATTCTAAAATATATAGTGCTATAGCAAAAAAGGATAGTCAGGTGGTGATCAAAAGACACATTCAAGTATTTTTACTACTCTGTGAACTCAGATGGATTAAAGTCCATGAATTGAAGTTTTAAATTTGTAGAATAGAGAGAAGACACTCATGAAGATAAACATATATATTATGTATATTGTACATATTTCATTTATATACTATATAATTTATACATACATATAATTTATGGATGTATATAATTCTTCCAGGAGGTGTGAGAATAGCATGTAAAATGCTTTACAATACTAAGGATACAAGTAGTATCTGGTACCATATCCTATTTAGCATAGGTGATCAACTGAATATTTAACACCCTTCCATTTCTTGTGCATTTCTTATGGCATTTCTTTGCAGCTGCTATGAAGAAAATGTCATAGGAACCAAGTCTCAAAGTTATCTGAGCCGATGACATATAACCCTATTCAATTGTGTCATATGGTAAGTAGCAAAGCTCAGGGTTCTTATATTGCCTAGGTTAGAAACTTTAAAATTAATTGAGGATCCAGAGGTTTCTGCTTTTTTGCCATAATTCCTTTCATAAGCCATTCAGTTTATAGAGAGGGATGAGAGCCACGAACTGGTGAGAGGATAAGTCTGTGTGTGCAGAGAGAGCTGGTGGTTCACAGGCAGTGATACCAGGGACCTGGAAATGTATTACGGTGTCAGCACAGTTAAGCTCCACTTAGCAGCATTTCTTCTCCAAACCTTTCGCAGAGTTTTTGTGTGGGTGTCTGGGGAGAACTGCTCACCTGCCCATCTGGCCAGATGAAGGCAAGGGGATTGTTTTCATCAAAAGAGAAAGCCTTAGAAGGAGGAAACGGTGAATAAAGGGCTGAATCCAAAGGATTACAAATGCTTTTGAACTGCCCTGGGAAGATCAGAAGTGAGCAGCCATGGAAGCTTTAATGTGGCCTAAGTGATGCTCACCATTTTTTAAGAAGGCAGGGGAGGAAGGTTTGGGGTGGAAACACTCTGCTAAGAGGCTTGTGTTAATAAGATCACAGAATTGCTAGTCATAGATAACAGCAACAAATACCAGGTGTGCCTGAACTATCAAGGCAAATAAAGATGACATCATGTTCATTTCCATCAGTGCTATTATCATCATCCAAAAACAATCATAGCTCCAAATTAGATTCAGCCTAAATCCTGAGACCATCCAGCAGCACTACTCTTTCCCCTTTCTTTAACTCATGTCTTATATGTTCCCCAGAGAATTTTACAGGGCAGGCTTCCATTAATGTACCCAGGGGAAAACAAGATAAGCCTGGGTGGGTAGCTCAGGAGATTCTGGAGAGACCCCTCAAGCACTGACTCCCTCGAGCTTCTTTTTCTGCCCACTGGAAGATGACTAGCATCTCTGGCCCCTTGGGAGCACACCTGGAGACTGCTCTCTGATCATTTGCATTTGAAAAACTGATGCATCACATTTGAAGTTTAACACTAACCTTATTTTCCCACAGCCATCTTATGAACTGCCTAGGTTACAATTTTTAAAATTAGTTGAAGATCCAAGTTAATTCCTGATACTATAGGAACATGAGAAAAGATAAAATGCTTAAATTGGAGTGTGGAGTCTCAGACTAAGACTGTTTATTGTCAAGAGGGTGGTGTGTGTATGTTTAGAAGGTGGTATAACTGCCCTTACCTGTAACACTTGGTTGCTTGGGACTTGGGTGTGTCCTGGCTCTGTCATCCCATAGCACTGACGGCGGGCGGTGGGCCGAGATGCATTCCCATTAGCATGTCCTACCTCTGACAGCCATTCAGAGGGAAGACACCTTCCCAATGTGCCCGGACCCCAGGGGAGAACTTACTTTCCCAAGCAATTACTTCATAAGTTTTAGAATATAGTATTAAAAATAAGATCAAAGGCCGGGCGCGGTGGCTCAAGCCTGTAATCCCAGCACTTTGGGAGGCCGAGGCAGGTGGATCACAAGGTCAAGAGATCGAGACCATCCTGGTCAACATGGTGAAACCCCGTCTCTACTAAAAATACAAAACATTAGCCGGGCATGGTGGCACGTGCCTGTAATCCCAGCTACTCAGGAAGCTGAGGCAGGAGAATTGCCTGAACCCAGGAGGCGGAGGTTGCGGTGAGCCGAGATCGCGCCATTGCACTCCAGCCTGGGTAACAAGAGCGAAACTCCGTCCCAAAAAAAAAAATAAAATAAAATAAAAATAAGATCAAAAGAGAACTCCTTGATGGAACATGTAAACTCAGTAAATATAGGGAAGAGTTTTAGGTTTTTAGAGTGAACGTATCCGTTCTCACCTTACCTACTTTAGCCTTGCTTCTAATCTCAAAGTTTACGGTCAATGATTGGTATGAGAATTTTACAAAAATAATTAAAAGGCTAATATTAGATTCATAATACCATAGAAGTCCCACAAACATCTTTTTTCATTCATTTCCAAAAGAGTATCCGTAAAAGTACTTGAATACATAATATGTACTAAAAGCGTGTGATGTTGCTTCACCATTTTTTACTTGCTAGAGGATTGACTCATGGTTCCACACCCTGGCCCTTACATTAAGATTATAAAAACCAAGAAGTGGAAAATATACCTGGATAACAACAATAACAAAAAGATACACAACTTATGTTTTCTCACGATGGATACAAATATGGATTCTAGAGGCAGACACTATGGGTTTGAAACCTAGTTATGTACTTGAATTAGCAATATAATTTTGGTTATTTACTTCATTTCCCCATGCTTCATTTTTTTCTCATCTCTAAGTTGGGGATAATGATGATAATAGCAATATCTATCCCATTAGTTCGCTGTGAGAATACGAAGTTGTTTGTTGTAGACTGAGAAAATCTGCCAGCACCCAGTAATGTCCTAATTCTTAGTAAATGGCACCTCTCATTGTTACAGATTTCACTAAACTTTTTATTTCAGAGTTTTCTGTATCACAGCCTGTGATACAGAAGATCCACAATATGGAAAGTCTGTGATATAGAAACAATCACAATTGCACAAGCTGTTAGTAGTCACCTGAGCATTAAAAAACACAGTTATTTATTTGATTAGATGATGGCCTACAATTTAGAGGTTAAAAAAGAAAATACTTACCTTAAAGTCAGTGGTGAGAGCAAGACATGAAAGACAGCTCTACAGAACTATAGGCATTTAGTTAGAAAGATAAAAAAATTAAGACAATCACTCAGATAACTTGTACACAAAGAGGCCAGGTTGTGGCAGTGGGCAGGGTTCTTTTACTTCAATTTTTTAGCCAAGCTAATTTTTTTTAATACTTAAAATTTGAAGTCACATGTTCTAGGCAGATACAGATTTTTAAAATGTTAAGTATCTAAAAACTGGATCTAGTAATACCAGTAATAGTAATCTGGCCAATATTTTGGAAATTCAGGCTACTTAATTTATACAAGTTTAACAAGATAGTTTCTACACAGGTTTCATGACAGCCATTATCATGCCTAAGAAATCACTGAAACAGCACAATCAGCACATTTTCTAATCACCCAGCTCCAAATAAAAAGAGTCTTGTAGACTGAATAATTTCACTGAAAGTCTTCAATAGCTTAAAGAAGTCTGATTCCAATGTTATGAAAATTTATTGGCATTGCTGATTTCTCAAACGTCAGCCGCTTTACCACATCCCACACTTCAAAACCTGCTCTGAAGGCCAAATTGCTTTCTACCTAGACATACATTTTAAGAAATCGCAGTTTATAATCAGGGGTTGCTGTCTTCATGGTCTTTCCAAAGCCACCTTCTACAGCCTTCATCTTACCTGACAGTGTAGATCATCATCTTCTTTTAAGAGATTGGGATCACAGTCCATAGAACAGGGACCGATTTTATTACGAATGCTCCCTAGGGTTAAAAACAAAAAGGTGGAAAAAAATAGATGACACATTTTCACTTCAGAGGATGTGTAAGCTTACACTGCTGAAATCAAAAAGCTGATCTATGCCTTGACAAATGGGGACAGAAGAAAGATTTCTAAAACGAAGGCCCTAAGCTGTGCTAGGTTTTTATTTGTAAGCTGTCCCCGATTTTAATTCAGCCAGCATGGGAACTTCAAGTCCAGCTCTACCCTGAGCCACACCACGGGGTTGTAATTTACAAGCAGCAGCTGTGTCTGCCTGCTTTCCTACATCATCTGGGTAGGATTCTTTAACATCAGCTACATTTCTGGGATCACATTTTCAAGGAAGCCCTTTTGCACCCCATATCAATGGCCCAATATGAAACTCTGAGATTAGGGAGATTTGATCCCTGCCTGCATCCAGTGCTGCTCACCTTACTCTCCGAAGCAACTGACTCATAAGTTTTGCAATTAATATTTAAAACAAAAAAGAGAACTCCTTAATTGAACATGTAAACCCAGAAAATAGAGTTTTAGGGACCTTTCGCATATCTTGCATGACTTGCCCTATATCAAAGTGTCTCAGCCGTGGTGCTATTGACATTTTGGGCTGGATAATTCTATGTTGTGGCTGCTGTCCTGTGCTTTGTTTAGCAGTATCTAAACAAAGGGTGCATTAAGTAGACCTCTACCTACTTAATGCCAGCAGCACCCTCTACCTAAGCCCCAGCCACTAGTCGTGGCAACCAAAAAAGTCTCCAGACTTTGCCAAATGTCCCCTGGGACAAAACATGGCCAGTTGAGGGCACTGTTCTAGATTGCAAACTCCTTAACAGACAACGTGTGTTGTCACCCTCGCTTTTCCTATAGTGTCTTGCACAGTGCCTGACACAGAGTACGTTCTGAACCAATCTGATTGTTGCTTAAAGGAAAAATAAATAAATAAATAGCAAGAGTGCTTATGAGCAGGTATTCCTACAGCTTTATACCTCCCAAGTCATTGTCTTGACCACTCATTTCAGTGAACCCATATGGCAAGGTCTACACCCAGGGTCTTGTGACAAATATCCTGGCTCAGAAGATGCTGGCGCTTGGAGTGCCTCAGGAAAGCCACAGCTTTGATGCGGGGGTTGGCCTGACAGTTTTTTTTTCAAAACAGCATGTGTTGTGAGCAGTCAAAGCCTTTTTTCTACCCTCTTTTCTCCCTCCAGAAATTGAATGTTGTCATACCCTATCCTTTGAAATTGCCCTTGTGGATTTTTTTTTTTTGAGACACCATTTTACTCTGTCACCCAGGCTGCAGTGCAGTGGTACGATCTCGGCTCACTGCAACCTCCACTTCCCAGTTCAAGCAATTCTCCTACTTCAGCCTCCCGAGTAGCTGGGATTACAGACGCGCACCACCACCGCCCAGCTGATTTTTTGTATTTTTAGTAGAGACAGGGTTTTAGCATGTTGCCCAGGCTAGTCTCAAACTCCTGAGCTCAGGCAATCCACCTGTGTTGGCCTCCCAAAGTGCTAGGATTACAGGCATGAGCCAGGCGCCTGGCCCTTTGTGGGCATATTACAGTGAGATTTTAGAAGTGTAAGATTCTGAGGACATAGGCCCCATGTCAGAATGCTTCAGAAACCTTTTCCTCCCGACCCCTCCAGCTTCTTGCTCCCCAGTCTAGGCCTGTGTGGCTCAAGCATTTTGGGAAGAGATGGTTTCATTGTGTTTCTTGACACTCCCTCCAGTGATATAGGACAATTTCAAAGGACAGGGGATGAGAGCGTTCAATTACTGGAGGGAGAAAGGGGGAAACGGGGACAGAAAACAAAGCTTTGACTACTCACAAGATAAAGGCAGACACTAAGAAATATCCTTCTTCATGGAAATTCACATGGGTCAGGCGCCCCTTCTTTGAGACACCCGATACTTAGTCACATAGACCCCTGGAAGAGCTCCTTTTCTTTGGGTCTAAAACAGAATTAGTTGGTAGTGAGATTATTATGGTCAAATTTACAATAAGAAAGGGAGGAAAAGGAAAGGTAGTGTAGAAAACATTTTTATTTAGGTTTTAAATCTATTATTTAAATATAAAATTTTGATAATAGTAATTTATATTAATCATGCACTAATTACACATTAAATTAATAATTATGATTATCATATATGTTTACTCATAAAACATTATATATAACATATATAAAACATATGTTTAAATAAATATATAATAAAAATTATATATTATATATTGTATATAATAATGTATAATTATGATCTAATTATTAATTTAATATTTATATATACACATATAATTATAATATAATGAATAATTTAATGGTTACATTAAATATTCAAATACTACAATATTTATATATTTAATATATTTTTTTAATGTATTATTCTTTTTAAAGCCTTGTAATTAAAATTCTTAGTATATAATTTCTAGCTGGAATAACAAATATAAATATGAAATAATAGAATGCATTTTTTAGTATTTTCTAAGAATCCTGTATATATTATGTTGTTTACATCTCACACACACATACACAAACACAACTGGTTAAACAGTTACCATTGCCACATTTGACAAATTTGGAAACTGAGACTCAGACAGATCAAAGAACTTCCCTCAAATTAGACAGCTAATTAGAGGAAAATCTGAAATTTAGTCACAGTTCTTTTTTACCACAAAGCCCACGCATTGCATCCTTCTGCTGTATCCTGCTTGAGAAGCCCCACCACATTTTCTACTTATACACACATTTAAACATTGGACATATTTTATTACTGCTGGAACAAATTACCACAAACTTAGGGACTTAAAGCAACATCTTTTTATTATCTCACATTTTTTTGTGTGGCTCAGCTGGGCATTGTAAGGCTCAGCTGGCTTCTCTACTTAAGTCTCACAAAGCCAAAATTCAATGCAGGAGCCAGGGCTGCAGTTCTCATCTGGGTCTTGGGGTCTTCTTCAGGCTTACTGAAGGCTGGCAGAGTTCATTCTCTTCTCATAATTTCCATGAGATCCCCATGGCCTTTAGGTCAACAGCAACAGGCTGTGTCTTTTCCATGCTTGAATCTCTCTAACCTTTTTTTCTGCCATTGGCATAAGAATATTCTCTACTTTTCTTTTTCCTTGAGATGGAGTTTCGCTCTTGTTGCCCAGGCTGGAGTGCAATGGCATTATCTCGGCTCACCAAAACCTCTGCCTTTCGGCTTCAAGCAATTCTCCACCTCGGCCTCCTGAGTAGTTGGGATTACAGGCATACTCCACCACACCTAGCTAATTTTGTATTATTAGGTAGAGACAGGATTTCTCCATGTTGGTCAGGCTGGCCTAGAACTCCCAACCTCAGGTGATCCGCCCACCTTGGCCTCCCAATGTGCTTACACTCCCCGTGCCCGGCCTGTTTTCTGCTTTTAAAGGTTCATGTGATTAAGTTCACCCACATAATCTCCCTCCTGATATGTAAACATTCTGGGGATTAGATCTTGAACATCTCTGGAAGATCATCTTAGAAACCTTCCTACTAAAAGTAATTTGACAGGACTTATATCCTTCTGTGTTATTAAAATGTCATAATGGTGTGCATGTTAAGGTAATAAAGTCCCTATCAAAAAGAGAGACTCCTAAAAGTCTTCGATATTTTCTTTGTTCTCATGTAAAATGTTCTTTGCTCTAAAACAGACCTTCCTATTTCTAAAAATATATATAGTAATATGTTTATATTAGATAATTCTAAAATATATGCTATATAATAATGACACATATAATTATTCTGTTATATAAATGTATCTATAATACAATATTTTACCAAACTGTAATTACTAATATATATGCCATATAATTATATGACACATATACTTATTCTGTTATATAAGTGTATCTATAATACAATATTTTACCAAACTGTGATTGTATCACACATGTAGTGTGCATCCTTCTTTACATTTAACATATTGTGTTTCTTATTGGTCATTAAATATTCCCCAATGTATAATTTTTAATCACTGCATGGTAATACATAATATGGCTTTATTTAACCAGCCCCATTTGATTAATATTTATATCACGTTGTACATATTTTACAAAAATTTTATTGTTCTTCTGTGCTTATTTTCTTAAAATATGTATCCAGGATCAGGGATACTAAATCAAATGCTTAAGACTTTTTGCCTTTGCTCTACAAAATGAATTATCAAAGTTTGTATTGTAATCAGCCAATGCAGGAAAGTAGCTAATTATCCACATGTTTGCCAAAACCTGTCAGCTTAGTAGACAAATAACAAATCTCACTGTTGTTTTAATTTGAAATCCTAGAAATCTAATAAATTTGAAAGTTTTTATGTTTGCAGAGCACTTAATGCTTTTTTATATTGTAGATTTCCTTCCATTGCCATTCCCCCCAATTTTTCAGCTGGGATATTTAATATTTTCTTTGTAATTTTTATCTTTCCATATTAAAGATATTAACTTTGCCTGACATGATGGTTCAAAATATTTATCTTAGTTTGCAATGTATAAGATATAATTTTCTGTCTTATGTAGTCCTGTGTGTCAATGTTTTCTTTCATTGTTTCTCCTTTTACTTATAAGCTTACAAAACCTTTCCACACTAAACAGTCAAAACATACATACACAAAGTCTAAGTAAAGTAAGAACTTGTGGGATCATTGCATTATTTTCTTTCATGCCTTCCCACTGCCAGGTGGGTAGCCATGGCACCTGGGGTCTTGCCCACACCTCAGACTCAGACATGCAAAACACAACTGACCCTCATTCCTCTCACAGGGCTCCTTCCTCATGTTGTCTATTTCTTTTCATGACTTTGCTATTCTTCTTCCACCCAGACTCAAAATTCTCTGTCTTCCACGAATTTTCCTACTCTATTGTCATCCACATCTAATGCTTTGTCGCATGATCTTCCACCTCATTCAGTAGTTGAACAGCCATTTCTTCCTCCCTTTTGCCATAACCCTAGCTTGAGCCTTCATTGCTTCCTACCTCTGCAGGTA